TGTGGCATGGTGCAGCACTACCTCTTTGTGATGAGTCTGAGGACCTGTGGTAAGAAGAATGGAGGCTTAACTTCGCCATCATTAATGTTCACTCCAAGCAAATTCGATATCACCATTAGACTCATCCAACTCCTTCCGAATATTTTTGCGCCGTCCTCAGATAGACACCTAAACACTCTGAAATGTCCATATTGGAGATTCGGTCGCGAATGCCAAGCAGTAATACATGCCGTTTCTAAATTTCTGGCGGAGTGAATTACGTCATGGTATTCTTTTTCTCACAGTCGCTGCCCAACTGACTCTAGTATTCTGTGCAGTTGTCAACCCCACCCAAAAAAAACGACGGACATGCGCGAAAATAATAATATGTAATACGCAACAATTTACCAATCGCACCTATATATATATATATATATATATATATATATATATATATATATACACTGCGTGCCAAATTATTATCGAGATAACTTTTTTCTAATATTTCAAAAACCGTATAATCAATTCATACAAAATTTTCACACAATGTTGGCAATATTGACCTGCGCAATCACTGAAATTTTCGTACTGATCTGCGCAATGTAATCAAACTGGCGCCATATTTGTTATCAGCACGGTGATTTGATCGTGCCAAATTATTAGAAAGGTTTAGTAAAATTCCCAGAATTGAGCAAACAAAATGTTTTATAATGTTGCACGTTAATGTTTATGATCAAAAGAAGCTAATAAACAAGATATTCAAACAAATAATAACAGATACAAATAAAGGCACAGTTTTAAACAAATTAATAAGGAATGTGCTTTCCCTGTTTTGAAATTACTTGACGAAGTGGACGATCCATAGAATTTGTTTATTGTAGGATGTCATCTGCTGTAATGCCGCGAGATATGTCAAGAATTGCTTCCCACAATTCAGCGTTGCTCCTGAATTGTGGTCCTTTAACGCACAGTCTTCGCTTCATGATGCTCCAAAGGTTTTCGATTGGGTTCAAATCCGGAGAATTTGCTGGCCACTTCATTTTTCGAGGTCCATCGAAGCCTAACTGTTTCAAATATTCAGTAGTCTTGTGAGCAGTATGTGAGGGAGCATTATCTTGCATAAAAAACATTGGCCCTTCTGAAGGCAACTCTTTGCCTTTTCATTCACAGTTCAAGATACTCCTTCATAAACGCTATGTATGCATCAGCAGTCATTTTGACGCCATCTGGTACTCTCCATGGGCCCACTAATGTTTTTTCAATAATACCACCCCAGATCATGATGCCTCCACCGCCTTGTTAGCATCTCAAACGCTGATGGCGATTCTGTCTGTTCATTACCCAGCCTTTGCACCATCTATCTGGCGCATCAAGTGTTGCTTGAGTTTCGTCTGTGAACAAAACTTTAGAGAAGTCAATCTTCATATTGTCCTCGGCCCATTTCAATCGATTTTGAATGTGATTTCTCGTCAACGGAGGCTTCGATACAGGTTTGAGTGTTGTTGCTATTTCCATCAGATACCGACACCGAGTACTTTTAGACACAGTAGGATCCCCAATGCGACTGAAAAGCTCTTGACTGGTAAGTCCAGGGTTCTTCGTGGCCTCTCGTTTAAGTCGTGACATGAGACGACGTGAAATAACCTTCGGCTTGCCTTTATCTGCCCTTTTGCGTACTTGTGTAGGGTCGGCGGTGAACTTTTTCACTGTTTGATAACACCTCCCTATTATTTTAGAAATTACTGGGGTAGATTTACCTTTTCAGAGTTCTGAGGTGATAGTTTTCTTTTCAGCATCACTTAAACTGCTTTTACGGCCCATCTTTTCACTAAATTCTTACACTTTTCTAATAATTTTGCACGCTCAAAATCACTGTGCCGATAACAAATATGGCGCCAGTTTGTTTACATTGCACAGATCAGTACGAAATTTTCAGTGATTGCGCAAGTCAGTGTTGCCAACATTGTGTGAAAATGTTGTGTGAATTAATTGGGCGGTTATCTCAATAATAAATTGGCACGCAGTGTATATATATATATATATATATATATATATATATATATAGTTGAATTACAGAGAAATTAAAAAATTACCCCATTTGAATAGCTCTTTCACCCTAATAAGATCTTCCTTGCCGGATTTATATATATATATATATATATATATATATATATATATATATATATATATATATATATATATATATATATGTGTGTGTGTGTGTGTGTGTGTGTGTGTGTGTGTGTGTGTGTGTGTGTGCGCAAACTTCATAATTGAATAGATAGGAGCAAATAGACACACACACACACACACACATATATATATATATATATATATATATATAAAAACAAACTTCATATATAAATAGACAGACAAATAGATAGATAGAAACAGAGTAGTTGAATATACATAAATGGGACAGATATATAGATAGGAGGAGAGTAGGCATATATATATATGTATATATATATATATAGATAGATAGATAGATAGATAGATAGATAGATATAGACATTTGTGTGTGTGTGCGATATGTTATTAATTTCATTATTTTAAAAACTAAAAAGAACAGGGATTGCAACTAAAACATGTGTCCCCACTAATAATAACGTTTATAATAATAAGAAATAATGTTAGAAAAAAAAGCTCGTAATATATTGTCATCTCGAAGGTTCTACGGAATAGATTTGCGTAGTAAATGAATGGATTGATCATTGTAATAATATGCTAAATTATCTCACAAGTCCCTTGACTTGAGGGATATTTAACACATTTCTTGAATTCAAAGTATCAACAACAAAAGAAGCTCATTTTCTCTGACATTTTTATTCTTCGATGAAGACATTTCTCATCATAAGAATATTTGTTGAGCACTCGCTTATAATCATAATCATATCCATGTATGAAAAATTGTTCAAATCGTGTTAGAGCATAATTGACCATCCTACAAAATGTTTAATATGTATAAAAACATCTAAACTGAGTTCCATATTTACAAGTTTCCAGATAAGAGATTTAACCAACTTGATGCAATTTGTCGTAAGAATCACTGCAAAACAGTCAGACAAGTCAAATGAGCAGCGAAAAAAGACTTGAAAATTAAATCGCACGTGATGCAGATTGTTACTCCAGGAGAGAAAGTTCAAAATTTAGAGAGGACGAAGATCATCTTGAATAAGTTTTAAATGAATTCAAAATATTTGATGGATTTAATCTATTTCGTCTAATATATATATATATATATATATATATATATATATATATATATATATATATTATTAGTTAAAGGATTAAATCCGACAAATATTTCGAATTAATTTAAAACATTTTTTCGATTTAATACACGCACACACACGCGCACACACACACACACACACACACACACACACACACACACACACACACACACACACACATATATATATATATATATATATATATATATATATATATATATATATATTAGATGAAATGGAATAAATCCGACAAATGTTTTTTACTTAATTTAAATTAATCGTTCACTCGCTAGTAATTTACAATCGCCTGAGGAGACGCATTGATATGCGTCGAAACACGACTGCAATTTTGTATCGATTTTTAACATGTTTTTGATTTAATACGCTAAAATAAATAATATTTTGCTCTACTTTTAAATTACATGTTACGAACGTTGTGATTGTACTCTATTCTTTCTCATCTTACCTGGATATATATATATATATATATATATATATATATATATATATATATATATACGGGATGGAACAAACTCCATGAAAAATGGAGCGTTCGACGCAAACGAAGCTGGAAACAACCTTGGAATTTGTGAAGAACTCTTGCCTAAAGCGGACTTGAATATAATGGTGCTGCTCCCCGCTTGGTGGATTTGACGAGGGATAGTTCAGTTTGATCTTCTTCTCGACGACAAAACAAAATCTACACAAACTACTGCGACATGCTCATCAATGTCAATCCGACTATTAAAGATTTAGGCAAATCAAAAAGTTTTAATTTTCCACCATGCAAACGCAAGACCGCATGTTGCCAAAAAAAAAAAAACCTTAAGGAATCATAAGGAGTTGAAATGGGAAACCCACCAGCACTTAACGCATTCTCCTGACTTATCTCTTTCGGATTTTCCCTTGTTCCGGTCTCGACAGAAAAATTTAAATGACAACAATTTCCTTCGTATTCCATTAATAAGGAGTACGTTCCACTCGAACAGCTTCATATTCTGAACTATTACCTTGTTGAAAGAACATTTGAAAGAATGCTTCCGTGGTCGCTACGATCGTAATCTCTTAATGTCTAACCGTTATCTATCCTACATATCCTCAAAATCAGCTGTTCTTTTAAATTAATTTTAATTAAATTATTTTTTTTTTATTTTTTTAAATTTAAATTTTTAAAACTAATTTAAATTAAAATACAATTTTTAAATTAATTTTATGCATTATGGATGTGCGGCGATCCAGTGGATAGTGACTCGAAATGAGATTTCAGCTGGGTTCGTTATATTCACACACACACACACACACACACACACACACACACACACACACACACACACACATATATATATATATATATATGTGTGTGTGTATATATATATATATATATATATATATATATATACAGTGTGCGATTGGTAAATTGTCGCTATTTTATATTACTATTTTCGCGTATATGCGTCGTTTTTTTTAGTGGTAGGGTTGACAACTGCACAAAATACTAGCGTCAAATATGTTAAATAGTATGATCTCTATTGGGGAAAATCAGATTTATTATCAAAAGAAATATTTTTATAAGCCTAAATATGTTTCAGCTTTAAATAACTAATAAAGGGTTGATAAACCGTTTAAAGTAGATATAGATATCAATAAAATAATCAACATTCAACACTCTTATAACAGCCTTATTCAGCAACGCTCTACCATGAGTGGCTCATGGGCCTTGTATCGGGTGAAAACTAGTATAGAAAAAAAAAATAATTACTTAATTTAATATCAAATTTTGGCGAAATGCTTTACCAGTTTTTATGCTTCCTGTCTGACAGTTTGCTTTCTGTTTCAACTGAAAATATAGATACTTGCTTTATAAGTGTTGTTCAAACGCACGTCGCCATATCTGGTAACCTTTCTTTTGCGGTCAGTCTAATCCTTGCAATACGCACAGCTTCCAAAATATCTACAGTATTGCCGTTGACTTGTTGATGTTGCTCAAATGCTTAAAAAACGGACGCGGATTTCATTGTACGAAATCAACGATTTCGGTTCTCCAGTGTCGACTTTCTTTTATCGAAGCTCTGCAGGCGTATATTCACACGGAGTACACATTTTGCAGGCTAACAGATAAACAATTCAGACATTGAGTAGGAGTAACAAATAGTCCGTAATTGAGTCAACCCAACAAGCGAAGAACATGTCCGTGTTTGTCCTGACACTGATTTCCACACTGACCTAGCCTCCGGAGTCGCTTTGCCCAGCGTTCTGCGTACGAGACAATAAGACAATGCGTATCACTGATGAAGGTACATCACATGCTCAAAAGAACGGTGGACCTCTTGCAGGCGCTCGGAAGGAAAATCTTGTCTCAAGGTCCATGGAATCATCGTTTGATTCAGTTCGTGTATCATATGATTAATCATTATTCAAGGCAAAATGCCATTTCGCCGCCGTTCTGTGAATATGTCGCACCTATTTTCCATAATCATTTTCAAATGTCAATCCCTACTGTAACTTTGCTGCTTTGGTTACATGCCTACTGTATCTCGTTTCAATTAGCTTGTTTCTTTTTTTTGTTTAATATGCTGTGTCCTCTTAGGAAATGAGTCTCTAAAAGTTTCTTTTATAATCTTTTTAATTTTATAACTTTTTATCATTTAACGTCTTCTTTAATCATTTCACTCCAAGCAAGGTAATAAAGCCATTAAGACACAAGAGGTTAGTGAGTGGGGAAAAAAAAAAAAACTTTATTAAGGAGCGAGATCAATAAAAGGAATCAAGACAATAGGTAACGATTGACATTGAATTTAAATCTTTGAAGATCAAAGTTGACTGGAAAGCAAGAAGTCGGAAGAGAGTTCCACAAGGGAGAAATGTGAGAAAAGAAACGTTTAGCAAATAACTTACGGTTACATCTAGCCAATTCAGCTGAAAAAGGATGATACCTTGCCGCCAATCTAAATTTAAAGTTTAAATTCATAAAATCGAGGTACCATAGAGAAAAGTTCATTAGAACAATTGCCATTAAAGTATTTATATAAAAGGTACGCAGAAGCTACATTACGGCGATGGGAAAGAGACTGAAGTCGAGATGCCAGGTCATGACCAATGATATTGCAGATTCTTCTTTGGATTTTATTAATACTTTCTAAATATATAGCAGGATCGCCAGACCATATGCAATATTCAAAGAATGGACTTAAAAATCTATTTAATGCTAAAAGTCTGTGATTGCGTGTGTGCTTGCATGTTTTCGTTGCTCTGTCCAGTGTCTAATGATTTGAGTGAATCTGATTTAAATGAATAATATTTAAAAATAAGAGTTGCTTATACAGTATTTTAACTTTCTTCAAAAAGACAATTTTTTTATTAAAATATTTTAAGTTAAAGACAGACCCAAAGAGATTCCGCTTTGCTGTTTCGTCCAGTTGTTTGTAGAATAATTATTTATATTTCAGCTTTCTTTAAATAAACGATATTTTGAATATTTAAAAAATATTTTTAAGTTAATCTGACTTAAAAATATTTTAAGAGAATAAAATTTTTGTTTATAAAGTAAGTATTTTTATTTTAACTTTATACATTATTTTATTTTAATTTTCTTCAAACAGACAAGTCATTATTAAAATATTAAGGCATATTATGACCTTCTTGACGCCATAAATTTCCAAGTTAGCATCTACGCAGATGACACCACAATTTACTCCTGCCTTAAAAACAAATCTAGTGTCGCTGACAAAACTAACCTGGCCGTGCGTCTCGAAAAGGACCTCCAATCGATTGTGAACTGGGGCAGGAATTGGCTTGTCAACTTTAATGCCTCAAAAACAAAACTGCTCTCTATTAATCACCACAGAGATTCTTCAAGGCAATGAAGACGTTAAGTTTATAAGTCCCAGAAATTCATACACAGATGTCCTTAAGGACACAGACAATTTTTTTTAATTAAAATATTTTAAAGTTAAAGAACAACACAAAGAGGTCCCACTTTGTTGTTTCGTCCACTTGTTTGTAGAGTAATTATTTATTTCTTTAAACAATGAATATTTTAAATATTTAAATAAATATTGTTGGCATATTTAAGTAATATTTTTAAGTGAATATGATTTAAAATATGTTTTAGCATATTAAAAAAATACTTTAAGTTAATCTGATTTAAAGTTCAAGATTATACCGGAAGTTCTGTTACTATTAAATACGTGTAAGCAATCGGTAAAATGTTAAACATGAACTTGTAAACCGGGCCAATGATGACATGAATTAACAAATTGAAATATGTAACTGAATCATAATAAAATAAATTTTCATTTCAATAGAACGTTGAAATCAACTTCATTTTTTTTTTTATAAACTGGACTGTTAGTGAACCATCGGGTCACAGATTGTCTAGTATATAACATTGATTCTGGAGAGAAAGATTATCTTGCCCGACACAGTGAACCAAGTTTGCTCTCTTTTTATCCTTGTTTTATCATCTGCTCACTGATAAAAGTAGGGTACTCGCCGGTTTTGACCTTGTTTCTCTTGCTTTTAAATGTGTCAGCTGCGGAAAGAAATATAAAAGGGAGACAAACTGCCCCCTTAAGGTAACGCTTCAAGAACACCAAGAAGCTGTAACACTAGGGAAAGTGGAAAATCAGGCATGGCGGATCACATATGGAGAGAAAAGGGAGATCACGACCCTCTGTGGGATAAGGTTAAAATCATAGACAAAGAACATCATTGGGAAATTCGTAAACTTAAAGAATCAGCACATATGCTAAGCCACAAGAATTTTCTGAGCCAACCAAGCATAGAAATGAATACAATATGGGAACCAGTAATAATTATTTTGTCCACCCATGTAGATTCTTCTAGTTCCAAGTGCCATACATCTTCCATATGTTTCAACATCAATTTTTTTTTCTCCTCAATAGGAGGAGACAGATTCGTCTAGCTTCCCCCTCTCCCTTTTGAACAGACGTAGAGGTTTATTCCCTTGTTTCATTTTTAGAATTGGGTTTCCGGTTACACATCAAGTCTGTTTGCATTGTCTTTCTCTCCCAGTAGACCCTTATGCCTTAGTGGCAATATCGCCTTACTTGGATTGAATTAACTTACATATAACTTTATATATATATATATATATATATATATCGAAATGAATTTCACGTTTAATATTGATTATTGATTATATTGTTATTTTTCGGCGAATGTTAATTCAGTGATTTACCAATACATGTGTAGTTGTGGACACGACTACATAGAGAGGACGTCCCAGCGTTTGGATTCGAGAATAAAACAGCATTTACCCTCCAGGATTTTGAATCCGTCCTCCAGGAATAGCCAACTGACCAACAGTTCTGGTTCTGCTATTGCTGAACATTTAATAAATAGTAGGAAATGTGTGGAAAATTTTAGTCGTGACCGATTTATAATTTTATCTAGGTCCCACTCGACATTTCACCTCAAGGTTCTAGAGTCCTTGTATATCAGCTCCCGTGAGCCTCCCCTTTGTAAACAGAGGGAATGCTTGCTGGGTCTGAATATTATTGGACTCTAGTTTCTTGAAATTCATAATTTTTTTCCCCACGTTCGATTACATTCGTTAATTAAAAATTAATTTAGACGCTTTTTTAAATTCCCAGAATAAATAAACTTGATAAGTCCTGGGACGAAACCGGTTGTTTTATTTTAGCTTTTGCTTTTAAAAAAATGCCATATAAATATTGTCTTTTCCTATATATATATATATATATATATATATATATATATATATATATATATATATATATATATGATGTCTTCCTCATACAGGCCTGGTACAGTGTGGACAGACATCTGATTGCTTCAAGCCGGGATCAAAACCCGACCGATTGTCATCACAAAACACGGCAGAGGGATAGGGAAATTCTAGCGCATTATTTTTTTTTTATCTCCTTTAACTGAAGTCTCCATTTTTTTTTTCACCTTGGCTATAGCAAGTTGAGTACAATACCGGGACGTACAACAGCCGAAACGTCGTCAATGTGGAAACGAAGCTGATCAACAGTCTGAACAATGTAAATAGTGTACATTCTAGGAGAAACAGCTTACTGCTTGGAACGGTACAGAATCTTAGCGTTGGATCGTATATACGAGTTACAGTTGATGCCTGAAATGAGTTTAGGCGTTCAAGGCAAGGGTTTGGCATAGTACTCTTTAGCGAATTAAGCAAAAGCAACAACCATTTCAGATTTTCAATCAAACTCGTAAGATATATGTCACGTAAAGGCCATCTTCTTTTTTCTACTCGAATTACTTCAACACCAAAAATGACCACAACCCAACGCTTCCCCCAAAAAAATAAAAATGAAAAAAAAAATAATACTGATTTCGCCTGAAAGACATTCAAGTGAGAGTTTTTAATTAAGTGTCGGTTGTATTTCTGGTGAAAACATTTTCCTGTTATTTCTGCATGCAGACAGAATAGCGTCCCGCCCATTTACAGATGGCTGGTTCTTGTCTAAAGGCTCTACTCTTCGAGGTCTTCGCTTGCTCTCTGTGTGTTTGGCACCAGGCCGAGCTTCAAATATTCGTTAATTATGTGGACATAGGAAGAGTTAAACCGCGAAAAAGAGTGACTGGCAGAAAGGTAACGACCTATTTACTTGGACTCGCTTTAATAATTCCCTCTGAGAGATAAACAACCATGAAAGGGAAGAGGCAGAGTTCGGTAATGTTGGCCGCTGGCCGCTACGTGACCACTTACCATTTTGGCAGAAGACCTAACACTTCAGACTGTCACGTTTTCCATCATTTGTTTTATATTCCTTTTCGTTACTTTCTCCAAGCTTTGCTTTTATTACCATAATATATTTGTCGGGACCATCATAAACATTCTTTTAGGCGCATTTGTTTCCAAATGTTCCGTATTGTATTCGTGTACAATGTGACTCTCTATTCTTATATTCGAATGGACTCTTGATATGTGAATGTCATAGAAAGAC